AAACAGCAAGGCGCTCTGCCCGAGATCCTGCCGTCGCTGCAGGTCGTCTCCAAGGAGCCCTTCGGCCTCACCTCCTTCGCCCTCTCCCTGCTGCTCGTCTTCCGCACCAACACCAGGTGGGCGGGCCATCACACCCACCCCCCTTGCTGTCTTGGTTGTGTGCAGGCCAATCGCTGCAGCTCAGTCTGGGGTGTCTGCCACGCCACTGGAAATGGTGTGGTCCTGCGGCCCTGCAATTGCTTACAGCCACAGCTGAGCATACAACCGCCATGACGTCACCCATCCACAGCTACGGCCGTTGGGACGAGGCACGGAAGATGTGGGGGCTGGTGCTGAACAGGTCGCGCGACATCGCCCGCCAGGTCAGCGCACGGCGGCAGTCGCACGCCCCGCCCGCACCGCGCGGAAAGGTTGCCAGTGTCCGGCTGTGACGGTGGGGCGCCTGCGGCACTGTGCCGGCCCTGTGACCGCCCTATGACTGCTGCCTGCGGTCCTGGGCGTCAAACTGTCAACAAGCGGTCAGCTGGCAGGCCCCCTTGGGCCAATCTGACCTGATTTCACATCATCTCCTCTCATCCGATCGTACTCCATTCTGGTGATCTTGTCTGCAGGGCCTGTCGTACATCCCCGACGACCGCCAGGATCTGAGGGACATGCTGTGCCGCTGGACGCCGGCGTTCAGCCGCTCCCTGATGACTCACCTGCGCAAGGGGGAGGACCTCAGGGAGGAGCTCAAGGTGTGGGGCGTGTGTGTGCGCGCGTGTGTGTGTGTGTGTGTGTGTAAGAGACTGTGTGTTTTGTGTGTGTGTGTGTTTGTGTGTCTGTGTGCTGAGTACAAATGTGTGCGCATGCGAGCCTGTGCACATAACCGTGTTGGGGTTCATATGTTTTGTGTGCGCCACGTGAGTAGTGCGAGTGCACGACGAGGATGAGAGAGGAGCCTCGGTGCAAATGCATGGGGCGGGCCTGGCCGTCGCCCGCGCGGCGGCGGGGCAGACGCCGCGTGCCCGGTGCAGCACGGTTCTGCCCAGGGGCCCAGGCGCCAGCCGCACCTGCGGGCGCCCAACGGATCCCTGCCCGTCCGTCCCACCCCCATCCATCTTAACCCCCATCGCGTCTGGTCCGCCCCCTCTTCCCCCAAACAGGACATCCTGCGCCCCCACGAGCTCGACTCGCTGCTGATGTCGACCCACAGGCCCAACTACTGCCTGCAGGTGCGGCACCCCTGCTGCCCTCTCCACCATCCACCCCCGCCGCATCGCCCGCGTGTCGGCCGCCGCCGCGCCTCTCTCCACAGCTGCGTCGGCGCACGCCGCCCCGACCTGCAGCTTTCTTGCCTCGCGACGCTGCCCGACGAAACCATCACGATTTTTCCCCGCTCGCGCCCCTTGGGATCCCATCATCCCGCCCCCAGGTGCTGTCTCAGGTGGTGAAGGACGCCAATGCCGGCACCGCGGCCACCATCCGCATGGACGACAACATCACGGCCTTCGAGGATTGCCTGGGGGGCTGCGAGCGTATCCTCAAGACCCCCGTGCCCCTGAGCTACACCAGGTGTGTGTGTGTGTGTGTGTGTGTGTGTGTGTGTGTGTGTGTGTGTATGTGTGTGTGTGTGTACACGTGAGTGCGTGAGCGTGTGTGTGTGTGTGCGTGTGTGTGTGTGTACGTGTGTACGTGTGTGCGTGAGTGTGTGAGTGAGTGTGTGTGTACGCGTGTGCGTGAGTGTGTGCGTGAGTGTGTGCGTGAGTGTGTGCGTGAGTGTGTGCGTGAGTGTGTATGCAAGCGCCCGTGGCAAAATTGAGGGGTGCTGCGCGGTAGTGCACGCTTGACAAGCCAAGGGACACCACAGCAGGCGGCGCGGCGACGCAGGGACGCGCGTACCCCTAAATTGTGTGGCGTCCGGCAGTGCGCAGTCATGACTTGAGGGGAGGCCAGCGCCAGGCCCTCGGCGGCAAGAAACGTTGAGTCCTGCCGTCTTCGCCATACTCGCCCAACCCTCGTTCATGTTGTGCAACCGTCTCCGCTGCCCGCCCCTCAAACACGCAGGCACACGAGCCGCTTCCTCATCATCTGGCTGACCATGCTGCCCTTCACCCTCTACGGCTCATGCGGCTTCGCCACCGTGCCCCTCTGCTGCGTCATCGCCTTCCTCCTGCTGGGTGCGCTGACCGCTCGTGCCGCTGCCTCAGCGGCGCCTTGCGGCCGCCAAGAATCACACTGCGGACCCAGGGGGAAATCCCCTTCCACGCCAGCGCGTGCGCCGGGACGCCCTTGTGCTGCCTTCATCCCCCTGACGCATTCCGGCGGCGCTCCCGGCACGTTGCTGCACCCCGGCACACAATCTACAACTCCGTTGACTGGGTCCCACCCCGCTCAATTATCCTGCTGCGCCCCAGGCATCGAGGAGATTGGTGTGAGCATCGAGGAGCCCTTCTCCATCCTGGCCCTGCAGGCCATCTGCGACTCGGTGAGCACGGCTGGGCAGCGCTGGGCACTGCTGGGTGTGGCTGGGACGCCCAGCGTCCCAGACAGCCACGCCACGCCACCCCGCCCCATCAACGCGGCGCCCCACTCGCTTGCCGCCTGTGGGGGCTGCTTGTGCGTCCTGTCCCGACCGCGCCAGCATGTCAGCCTGCCGCTGCCGGGCCCGGACAAGCCGCGCTCTTGCCCCCGCACCGGCAAGCCGGGACGCGGCCCCCAAAGCGGCATGCTGTTGTTCCCTGCGCAGCGCAGCGCAAAACAACGCTCAGCAAACCCCAACCTGTGCCCTTGAACCGCACCCCTAAACCCTGCCAGGCCCTGAACAACGTGAGGGAGCTGCAGGCTCAGCATGACATCAGCAAGGCCAAGTCTGACCAATACAGCGCCATCGAGCTCGTCAGCATGGCCGCCGCCGAGGCGGCCGGCGCCTCGGCCACCGCCGCCGCCGCCGAGAGCCACAACGGCAACGGCAACGGTAACGGCAGCCGCGCCCCGTCCCCCGCCTTCGCCACCGCCGGCGTCGCCAACGGTGGCAACCGCTTCGCGGTCGCGCCGCCGGGCAGCAACGGGACGGCGGCGTCGAGCGACGGCGCGGGCAGCGGCGGCAGCAACGTGTGGCCGCGCAAGGGGAACTACTCCTCCGTGAGCTTCCGCAAGTGAGGGGCTGCGCTGGCAGTGGCGGTAGCGGGCCGCCAGCCCAGTGGCCGCTCGCCCCGCCAGCTGCGTTCGGCGGGCTGGGGTCGATTTTTACCTCTCGAGCCCACTCGTACCTTGTTGTTTGAGGGTTAATCAGGGTCGCCTCGCCGCCACGCCCCTTTGTGGCGGAGACGCCCCTGTGTTTTTTGAGCCGCAGAAGCCGCGCCCCTTTGTTCATTTCGCGTGTGGTGCGGTCGCAGTGCTGGCAGTAGCTGCAGAGCCACGGGCCTCCGCCCCTGCTGCGCCGCGCCGCCGCTGCGGTCCCCTTCCCCCACCTCTGCCTGCTGGCCGGGCAGTTCTGGTGGCCCGTTGTTAGTCGGCTGGATTTTTGTTTACAGCTTCTCCTCTGGAGACCACAGGCCGTGCGGGCATCACATCGCGCCGGCCGCGCCGGAGATGGCGCGCGGACGAAAAACAAATCAAAGCGCCGGAAGAGTTTGGGATTTGGGAGCGTTTTTTGCAACGACAGGAAGCTGCTGCCCAACCCCCTGCCACGGCCGAACATCACCGCCGCCGGCCGCTCACGAGAGAGCCTCTTGATGCCAATGATTAGCGAGGCGAGCGCGCGCCCCTTTTGTGTGTACCAACGCACCCCACCAAACCGACGACCCGTGGCGCCGCACAAGCGGCGCGGCGCCCGGCCGCGTGTGTGCCTGGCCACGAAGGTCGTAGAGAGTGCCCCGCTGTGCGTGACCAAACTGCCTGCGAGCGTAGCAGCGCCCGCCTGCCTCCCCTGGCCCGAGCGCCCCGCACACAACGCGGCGGCGCGGGCCGGCGGACGGCAATGAGCGCGGCGCTCCGCCGCACCACTCCACCTGCCGAGCAAAGCAGTCTTTCCGCTTCCCGCCGGCCTGCACAGCACGTCGCCTCAACGAGTGATATGCATGGGCACGGTCGGGCCCCCACCGTCCGTCGAAAGTCGCGCGCGCCTGCGAATCACCAACTGCTTGGGGCCCGAGCTAGGCGGCGCCATCCCAGGTCACCCTGCCTCGCTTCCCCTCCAGACTGTGTTGACGCCGACGCCTGCGGCCCAGGCGCCGAGCCACGAGCCGCACCCCGGTATCCGATTGGGGCGGCCCTGCCTCAGCGCCAGGCGTGTGGCCTTGGATGGGCGCGTGAAAATGCGCCCCAAAGGACCCCGCTTTATGGGCACGGCTGTAGATGGAGCCCGCAAACGACCGTCGAGAGCCCCGCGCCAGGCGCCAGGCACACCCTCCCACCAAGCACGTAGAGGGGACGCCCGGCTGTGGCGCGGGGGCCCAGGCGGCGCACCCGCCCCGCTTTGCCCCTCCCGGCCTGAGCGCCTGGAGGGGTGCAGACGGCGGCCGCAGCCGCCGGGCAAGCCTGGCAAGATGGTTTGCCAGGTGGAGCCCTGCAACCGGAAACTCTCTTTTCAAGCAACGGGAAGCACTGACGCCCCTGCGCGTGTGTGGACGCACACCCGCACACTCTACGCGCCGCCATGTGTGCGGAGCCGTGCCCTTTATCATTCCCGCCCCGGCGCACCAAAACCCATTCCGCCTGTGCGCGCGCGCGCACGTGTCAGGCAAACCCGAGAGAGCCACCATCACATGCCACCGTTGGCACCACACCTGCACATCAGCCTGCACAGCAAGGACCGCCGAGGCACCTTCTGCCTGTGTACCCTTCCCCTCACGCCGGTCACCAGCGACCGCTCTCGGGAGCCCTTTGCAAGCCGCTGCAACCCCTTGCCAGCGAAACGCGCCTGCCGTGTACTATCTGTAACGCTGGTCGATGATCTGATGCATAGCTCCCATGTTTGACCGGACTCGACCAGGTTTGACCAGGCCAGCCTGTTGGAACAACGGGCCAGGGGCCGCGCGATGCAAGAAATTGGCTGAGCTCCTGGTCGCACGCTAGGGAGCGGCGCGAGATAGTGGGGCACAAAGTACCCACTGCGACAAGTGCCCCCCATTGCTGTTGCGGCGAGGTCGCGCGAACGTGTGATCTGTCTGTTCAAGCCTAGGCTGAGACCTGGGGTAATCAACATGCGGATGCGTTGGTGCAAGTTACACGGGTACCTCCTCAAATGTTTTGTATTTGCGCGCTGAACATCACGTTTGTTGCGGTTCATAGATCACGCCGACACACAAAAAAACAGGCTGGTCCAGGCTCATTGCGGGGCCCTTTCAGAGCGAAACGGCAAACCAGGGGGATGGATGTGCGCAATCGCAGGGTGCCAAAATGCAGAATCGCATGCGGGTTGGGTTCAGGCCCGGCAGTGAGGTGCAGGGCGTCACGTCCTGGGGATGTCGGGCAGCGAATTTCAAACGAGGGTGTCACGGTCATTGCGCCAAGGCCAAAGGACGACCGGCACGCACCACGCGTAAAGTCAGACCGAGTCAAGCAAACCCAGCACACAAGTCAGGCCATCAACACACCGCGGACGACGTCAGTACGTTTGGCGCCCACTGCACGACCACGGTGCCTGCGGCGTCGCGCTGGCAGGACCAACGCCCACCTTGTAGTCATGGGGCCCCATTTGGCGTGGCAACCGTCCGCGCAGCAGCGGGGCACAGCGTCTCAACACAACACACGGAGTTGTGTGACAAAACTTGTCAGGCTGTCCACGCAGCCCCGGCCAAGTAGCAAATTCACAATCCAGGAAGTAAGATAATTCCCACTGATCGCTGCGCAATAGACGTCTGCCGCGATTTCCGTCGTCTGCAATTGTTGCAGCAACAACAGCACCTCAACCGCGACCCTGGGACCCGCCTTGCATGTGGCTGATTTCGCTCCTCTACGTGCCAGCCATGGCGTCTCGGGGAGCGCGGCCTTCAACCAATGCGCCCGTCACGCGCCCACCTGGCCCTCGCTTGGGCCCACGCTGGCACCCAACTCATGAGGCTGCCCCTCTGGGCTGAACCCGTCCCAGGAGCACCCCTGCGGCCCGGGCCCCGCCACCGCCGCGGCGACGATCGAGCGGATGCGGGCTTCCGAGGCCGCGCGGGCGGCGGCCGCGTCGGGGGACGCGTCGGACTCGAGGGCGCGGGAGTTCATGGTGTGGGCGCCCGGCGGCAGGTGGCTGATGAACCAGGGGTCCTGAGGGAGAGAGAGAGGGGTGCATTGGGTGGGTGTGGGTCCTTTGCAGCCTGCATGCGACAACGCTGTGCTGGCGAGGGGCTTTGCAAACGTGCGAAACACAGGCTGCCGTCAGGAAATTGCAAATGTGCAAGCGACTGCGCGTGCCGACGGCCGAGCACGCACGTACACAATCACACAGTCACACGCATGCACGCACGCACGCACACACACGCACACACGCACACACGCACACGCGCATCTTTACACACACAATTACACACACACACACACACACACACACACACACACACACACACAATTTTACACACACAGCTGCACGCGCGCACCTGCATGACATCCTCAAGTCCGATTCTTGCAGCAGGATCCGGCTCCAGCAGCCGCCTCAGCAGCCCCTTGCACCCCTCGCTCAGGCCGAGGAACTCGGGCACCTCGTACTGGCAGGCCGCCATCAGGCGCACCATGGCGCCGACGCCGTCCGCAGTGGTGGGGCGCGGGAAGGGGTAGCGGCCAGCGAGCATGGCATACAACAGGACGCCGCTGAGATGGGGGGAGATGGGAGGGATTCATGGGTTGGGCGGGGTGAGGGGATCATGGCTGTTGGATTTGAAACCGCACGTGAGGGGGATAAGGGGCTCAATCTGGACGGGGGAATCAGGGATGCAAGCTATGCAGGCGGGCGGGCGGGACTAGGG